AAGAGATGTATACTATAAGACTACTCATCCGGTCCAGGCTGGAGCAGACCTTGAAATTCAACAGCTGCTCAGCTGCCATTCGCAAGACAGTCTTTGCATGTCTTGTTTGCCAAGTTGTGTTTATGGTATGGTTGTTATTCTGACTTTCATATTATGGTATACTAGAGTATATGATGGTAGGTATGTGCTGTACAGGTCACAGGCCATTCGTGGAAAAAAAATGAGTTCACTCGCAAGCCAGGTATTGTTTTCGTGGTGGCAGGCAGTGGTGTCACTCCCGCCATCCAAACCCTCCAGGACTTGCCGCTGCAAGACTATGATTCATTGCCTTTACGGCATCAACGCAATGCACTTCTAGCACCGTAGTGGGCATGCAAGCCACTAGCGACCCCAACTTCTTTCCACGGGAGCCATGATAGTGCCTGTGCCTACTGCAGGACTGGGTGGCTTCAGGCGGGATGTGTGCATGCTTTGAGGATTGCGAGTTTCGGAGCCGTCGCATTCTCCGTCGCGAGCGCAACAAACTTAATGATCCGATGTAAGCATCATGCCGTGGTCAAGACCTGCATTGCTGCATCCATTTGGGCGCAGCATGTGTCTCACGAGGCCGTGCCGGAAGAGACGTCACGATAACGGTCATCTACTCAAGTCGTGACGAGGATGAGAGACTGGGCCACGTAAGACTCACATTATGGAATGCTATCACAGCGGGCACGATGCATTCAATCTCAGTTCTCGTTCTCAGATAAACGCCCAAGCCATCCCCTCCTCGGCACAGCCTTGCTACTCTTGGATTTCGGGTTTTCGGATTTGAGCTGTAGGGCTTTTAAGAAAGAAGATAGATTGAGGGTTTAGGGGCTACAACTTGCAACTTGCTGAGGATAGCTTTCCTCCCAGAGCTCCGACAATTGGCGCAGCAGCTGCTTTGCTGAAGGCTTTTGGCTCCACCTGTCCCGGCGGTCACGAGTCCTACCACTGCTTTTCCGCAAGGTTTAAGTAACACTGGTTTCAAATCGAAATCTGCAGATTGGGTATACTGGAATTACATCCTGCGGGCATTGCACAGTGTTCGGAAGCCAGGTTTGCCGATCGATTCCGCCTGCACCTGGCAGCACCTTGGGCGCGGTTTTGAGTTCGTCGTGATGAACGTGAGCCTGAGTTGCGGTCCGCTCTGCAGCTTCAGTTGCCATAGCTGGCGCTAGGCTGGCAGCCGCATAGACCATTTGCCAGAACTCTGAGGTGAGCCAGCCGCGAACGGATGCATTTGCAGAAGGCCATCGTGGAAGGATTGATGAAAAGGCCGGATGCTTCCTGAGATTTAGCTACAGAATAGACATCACGTGCAGCAAGCGCACTGGACATATGCAGGCTTGCAAAAAAGTAGCCTTCGGCCGAAAGTATTAATCAAGCTATGCTGCAGCGGAGGTTCTTCAGCGATGGCTGGGCCAGGGTGGGGTCGACACACCGGCGCTGGCGCCTTCAAATTCATCATCAAAGCTCTTCTGTTCGTCGTTTGCTGTATTGGTTCAAGGTTTAGGTTCGAGGAGTTGAGGCCTGTTGCAAAAAGAAGGTTCAAAGAAATGCCAGGATACGCATAAAAGTCATCGCGGCATCCCCGGACAATTTGTAGTAAGGCTTTAGGGGTTTAGGGTTTATTATAGGTGAAGTTTAGGAGGACGGAGGTGCGTTGTTGCGGGTTGACCCTGAAGAAAAGGCGCGGATGTTCGGACCGAGTTTCACTTCTCAAGCCTTGTTGAAGGGCTCCTTATTATCATCAGAATAGTGATAATCTAGTTATAACTAGTAATAGTAAGAATAATGGCAATATGGATGTGTGTGTAGGTGGTTCTGATAAACGCAGCTACTAGCAGCTACTGAAGGCTGAAGTTTGAAATCTGTCAGGTAGGGAGGGGAAGTTCTGATTCTAATGCGGCACCTCATCCTGCGAAGTTACCGAGGTCTGTGGCCCGCCTGGCTTCAATGATCTTATGAAAGAAGCGTTGTGCAAGCTGGGCTTTGCCCATGTCTTCTGCCTTTAGCAGAGTGTCTCACCACCATTTTCTTGCAGCTTCGCGCTCGCACCTGCAATAAAAGATGAAGAGCAGCACATGACATGAGGGCGCTGTGCCAGACTCCTGCTGCACCTTGCCCACTGTACTGTGCTGGGCATGTCGCTCACACTGGAGATCCGTTGTGACGCTTCTCGTGTTTCTTGCCAGAGTGTGGCTCAGCCCTTCACTAGGCCAGCGGGGCACAGGTGCCAGCTTTATGGCGGCCCTGCTCGATGCCATCAGGCACGCATGGTTTCGGCGTCTTGCGAACCGAAGCTGATCCCGAATTCCCCTTTCTTACAGATTATAGATTGATCAAAGCTGTCCCGTGCAACTTCCACACGGAAATGCATTCGTATGAGCCTTCGTTGTTTCATCTGGGCGGCCCCTAGAGATGGTCATGCGCACTTCGCGCCTTCGCCAGGTCTGCGATGGCTGCCCCGGACGCGCGTCCGACCGGGTTCGGGCCTTGGTAATCATTGCAAAGGCCAAGCATGACAACACGAGAGTCTCACGATTTGCAACTGTCAACTCCCACAAGTTCCTCCGCTTGCTACTGTAGCACTTGTAATTGCAGAAGCGAAGGTGCCAGCAACATTACCTCGGAGGAAGCAGCAAGATGTAGCAGGGAAGCTTCACACGCTACATCCCACCAACTGAGAGCAGCAAGCAGCCATCGGACGGCAGAGAGTTTGCTTGAGGTACCAGCCATCCGAACTGGCAGCGCGTTCGCTTTCGGGCGGGCATCATGTCGGCATTGAGATTATTTTGGGTTCATGACCTTCATCAAATGTTAATGTGTTGCGTGCCGAGCAGATGCAGTGCTTGGCGATCTGGTCAGGTTTGCAGTCTTGACCAGATATCAGCCGGGGTTCTAAATCTCACCCCGGGTTTTGTCTTGCGGCGGGACTCCGAGAACCCGCGAGTTGAGTCGATCTAAGAGCACAACAAGAGAGGTTTACGGTTATCCGTAATGGGTGAAGTATTCGTTTAGATACTTTGAAGACCCCCGAGCACAGCTAATAAGAATCGGAGGACTCAACGCCAAACGGTCGATGTGTCCGATATATGCGTGCTGAGACGATGCTCTTGCAGCAGGCGTTAGAAGCCCCCATTCCTTAACTGCTGAAACTCCCTTTGGGATGACTCTGCCGTGTGCGTCCAGATGCCTGAGGCATGGGGCGAGTGGGGCCTCGAGGTCGCTGAAGCTGGGCTTCAATACCTGGGAGTTTCCGAAAAGAGGGGACCCTAATATAGTACCCTTAGTAGTAGGATCCTTATTATAAGGACCCCAATATAAGTTAATATAAGGTACCCCTAATTTCAAGAGTCTCTTAAGGCTTTTTGGGGAATAGGGCGAAGCATGCAAAAGACCGGAGTTTTCCGAGACCCCTCCAAGCCCCTGGAGTCTCGAAGCTACCCAAGGAAGGCAGAAAGCGGATTGTGGCCGGGGGAGACCGAGCACCTCCCTTCGCCATCGAACTCCTCATCCAGAAGGGGGCAGCCGGAGCGCCCGGGCTCTTTTTTGGAGGCGCCACAAATCCTGAGCTCTAAACACGGCCATACTTCGAAGTTACCCTGCAATGCGGGCTTTGTCCCTGCTAGGTAGGAGGGAAAAAAGCACGGCCATGCGAGAGGGAACAAGCCTGGCATGGCCTGAAGCTCGAAAGCTCGAAGCCCTTCTTGGGACTGAGGACACTGCTGATGGGACCTCTACCACCTGGCGCATCCACCCGGAGCCAGCGGCACACTAGCTTTGGAGGAGACGGAAGCTCGGTCGCAATATGTGTGTTCACAGAAGCACATGTGCATGAATGTTTCTAAGTAAGTATGTACGTACTGCAATATCCATACATGTATAGAGAGAGAGAGAGAGAGAGAGAGAGAGAGAGAGAGAGAGAGAGAGAGCGAGAGATAGATAGATAGAGGAAAAAACAACTGGGGAGACCTGGTCTTGAACTACAGCTTCAATACCCCTCTCTCCGTCCGTCTGTCGCGCTCGCTCGCTCTCTCCCTCTCTCTCTCTCTCTCTCTCTCTCCCTTTGTTTTCTTACTCATGTCATGAAATGAATCAGAGCTCAGCCGAAGTTTCATGTGGGGCAGATTGTTGTAAGTTGCCACATCCAAGTGCAGATTGTCACCGATCGCACTACGAGCCGGGATGCGCCAGGCTAAGGAGAGCTTGTCGTTTGTCATCACGATCCGAGGTTGAAGAGCTAAGCTACAATGTGTCACTGCAGTTTCCGCGCATAGCAACACAATTCAGTCTACTGTTATAGCTCGCGATTCCAGCAATCAGAAGTCGCCAGATAATTAAAAAAACCTTGTCCATGTGGTGTGTGCTTTCTTTCTTCCACTTTTTGGGGGAGCTAAGGCCACCCCTTGAGCTCGTATTGCTCCTCTGTGCCTGAAGAGAGGCCTGGGCTCCTGTGCCAAGAGCTAGGGCCCTTATGGGGTTTAGGGTTTAGGATTTCAACTTTTAAACCCTGAACCCTAAACTTTAGCTAGATAGAGCCTCAGTTTCCGTTTTTACAGAGCTGATCGGAGAATGGCCCGGGATTGATGCGCGAAGGAATGAGAGAGGTGGGCGCGAGTGTGCGGCATGCATGTGTCACCAAGACGGCCGAGCTTGGTATGTCACAAGCTATACGGACGTTCTTGAAAAAGCACAAATCGCACAAATCCACCCACGACACTGGCAGGCCCCTAGCTCAGACGCCTTCTTATGGAGATCGTCACCAGGTATCGAGCTTTCCAGACAGGACACTCGACATTTCTCTTGTGATGATGGCTAGTCTTGATACTCTCGTTGCTGGGTAATTTTCAAGCAGCGGAGCCCTGCGCAGGATTCCGTCCTTCAAGACGGACGTCGACAACATCCCAACATCCTTGACCCAGGAACGGTTGGCAGAGCACAACTGTGACTCGTTTGGTCGACGGGGGCCGGCAATGCCCTACCCCGCCGCTGTTTCCAGGGCTTCCCAGGACGGCAGAACCGAGCAGGATGATGCCAGTTTGAGGCTAGAGGGAAGCATCTGCTCGGATCTGCCGCAGCGCCTCGGGATCACCGGGGTCGTCCCCTCGCAGGCAGTCCCCCGTAAGCAAGGACGACCATGTGACAAGTGGAAGGAAGGAAGCATTGTGGAGGTCTTCTCTGCATCCGTCGGACAGTGGTACGCTGCCCAAGTGGGCCAGGTGGAACCTCAAAGCGATGGAAATGAAGACATCGTGACAGTCGTGTTTTACATTGGCGATCAGATTAAGCAGAAGTCCATCTACCGGACAGATGCTGCACTGACAGCTTTGGGGACACACACCTTCAACGAGCTCCCACCAGGCTTTGAGACCAGACCTTCGCAGTCTAAGCCGGGACAGCTGGTCTACTTCGATCTGACAGCTGGCATCAAGCATCCTGCTTTCATTGGATGGATGTAGATGAAAGTAGGTCTCCCGAGTCCGGGGCAAACAACTCAAGCCTTCTGCGTGGACTCCAGCCGTCTCTTTGCCAGTGGTATTCAGAGAGCAACCAGCTTGAAGCCACACGAAAGCAGCACAGCAACGGCAATGTGCACTCAGCCAGAGTTTCTGGAAGGCCCGACTCTTTGTTCACAGTCCCCCCCCGCGCCGTCACACAACCGTCATACCCCGCTCCCCTCCATCATCCACATGGCCTCGCAATATCGCAAGCTGTAGTCTTACTGATAGAGACTGTCCCGCAGTTGCCCAAGATCGGACCATGCTCGAAACCAGAGATCCTAGATTCGATGCTAGGAACAAACCGTGGAAAGCCTTAAATCACCCGAAACAGCCGCCAAGGTATGCCTCTTTGGAGCTAGCCTGGCATGTGCACTTTGAGCGCCTGAAGCAGCAGCCTGCCGGTTGCGAGACCGTTGTGTCTCAGACGGATGTGGAGGGTTTTCTGGGTTAGGAGTTCCATTTTACGGGTCATCAGAAACTGAAACTCCTACCATCGACGCCACCGTTATGGGGAGATTGGGAGCGATGCGTTCAGAAACCCTGCTGTGGGGATCAATTTGTTTTGCTTCCACTTTGTGTCCTACCTATGTCTTGTGCTTTGCCTTGGGTCAGCGTGTTGCCTGCCCAGAATCTCGCTTTGGAAGCAAAGTCTGCAGCAAGTACTCCTTTGACTTTCTCTCTAAACCCTAGGCCCTCAGGGAATGCGGGCTTCGTCCTTGCTAGGTAGGAGGGGAAAATAAACCCCAAGCCTTTTCCCTAAACCCCAAGCCTATTTTGGATGTCTGGCAGTATTGTCCGAAGGCCGAAGCGTAGGTGTGGTGCTTCTTCGATTTGTTGTCGCGCTCATCCGACCTCGAACCACAAGCCTCGCCTGGATTGCTCGAGTGTAGTGTGAGCGCCGAAACCAACAAACACACCAGCCCGTGAGTTCACCCGTCGAAGCTGTAAGTCGGCTCGCACAGGCTCGCCGTGGTCGAGATAATCTAATCCGCTCTAGTCTACATACGATTATGCTCTGCTATGTTTCCGAATCGGGCAAGGCCTTGGTAATGTAGGGGCCTTAAGAATTGGACTAGGCTTCCGGGGGTTAGAGTATAGTAGAAAATATATCTCACGGAAAAAATGATCCAGGCTTCCATATTATGCATCTTTGTGATCCGAAAAAACTCCGAAGTGAGGCGTGCGTGCAAGCGGGCCGCAGCGGCCCACGGGCACCCATTCTCCAAGCGCCAATCGCAGACGTGCCTTCGCCCATGCCACCTGTCCGAGCAGGGCAGTCGTAGTGGGTCATAGGTATCGAGCACCACGGTGCAGCTGGTTGATCGACCTGAGCTTTAAAGTACAGGCACAGACAGTTGAATTCCGTAGATTGGGCATGCGTCTCTGCGAGAAGCTGGAAGCTGAGCTTCAGATGCTGTGACACTTCTGGAAAGGTGAGTCTCACAAGCATCACTTGTATAGCGGTAGGCCGGCAGGAAGCCGCCGAGAGTTCATCGATGCTTCTGCAAGGAAGTCCATGACGCTGGCCGAGCTGGCGAGAGAGGACTCGGTCGAGACGGCATTACCTCCTCCTGGCAAGGCTTGCGTGGTCCTGCAAGGGGTGCTGAATTCCAATATAGACCCAACACGGTAGGCTCCTGACTAACATAAGAAGATTAAGAAGGCTGCCCTGAACACTTGTAACTAGAGAAGACGGAATGAACGATGCGAGATGCTAAACTTGGATCCAATTGGATGAGTTGTTGAAGACATGTCAAAGCCACAAAGTCGCATTCGTAGCCGGGAACCTCAGAAGGAGAACCTTCAAAATCAGAGCCCAGAGGCTCGGTTGTGGGTGAATTAGTAGGAATTTGCAAACATGTTGTAGTCTAGTTTCCTTGGCGTTCTTCTGGTCGGCTCTTTAGACTTTAACTTTTTGTGCCGGGTTGTTGCCTTTACTAGATTAAGGGTTGATTCCTCCCAACTCCCAACCCTCACCTTAATGCATCCATCAGCAACAACAGCAGCAGCAGCAGCAGCAGCAGCTCCTGACCACCATCGACATCGACGCGAGGCGGGCTCGGGGGCGCTGACTTACCATTGTTTCCATTACGGTTTAGGGTTTGGGTTCAGGATTTGCCCGAAGAGTGCAGCAATGCCAAGCCTAGGGTGTTTTAGAACATGAGCCTAAACCTCATCGCCCTGATGTATTGGTACAGATAGCATAGAGCATTCCCAAAGCTCCTCAATGCTTCCTGGGGTTAGGGTTCGGGCTGGGGGATTTTGGGCTTATTGACTTGGTGGCTCTAAAGCCAACTTGTCAGCATTTTTGTGAGAATGGGTTACATGGGAACATTCTTTAATTAACAGGAGTGGTGAGCTTAAACGTGGAGAATGAAGGGTGTAGTTGTCGAGTTTAAAATTGCCGTTGAAGTATTCGGGTTCAGGTTTTTCTTGTCTAGGCATCAGGGTTTAGGCTCGTGGTTCCAAAACAACTTTAAGCTCGGTAAGTCTTCCACGCGCTTACGCATTAGGGATTGGAATTGAAACCCTAAACCCTTCAAACCCCCAAGCCCGAACCCTTCAATTATTTTGATACAATATCTTAAGCCCGGTAAACCCCAAACCCATCTACGCCTACGAAACCCTAATGCTTGAATAATACAAACCCTACGCCTGAATACTTCAACGACAACTAAACCCTCCTTCTATCTAATCCTTTCCCCGAAGGGTTAGAGGTTGTCGTAGGGTTTAGGGTTGTTGGGTTTAGGTATAGTGATGCAGGAACTCCGACGAACTTCGACATCAACGATTGCCTGGGCCTGAGTCCGAGAGTAGTGCAAGGGTTTTCTGGGATTGGCAGCAGTTGGGACTCTGGGTCAGGGCCTTTTGGCCTTGGCTCGGAGGCCCACTGCTGTCCGGGGGTTGGTAGCTGGGACTCCGGGCCAGGCTTAGGCCTGGCTTGGTTGGCTCAGCTACCCTAAGCCTAAGCGGTTATAGAGTTCTTGCACTGTTGCATGTCATGTGCTTGCCGGACTTGGGGCCAGTGAGTCTGCGGACTCCACTGGCTTCGAGGCTGGCAAGCCCCATGCGCTTTGCCAGACTTGGGGCCAGTGGGTCTGCGGACTCCACTGGCTTCGAGACTGGCGAGGCTGGTTTGCTGGACTTGGGGCCAGTGAGTCTGCGGACTCCACTGGCTTCGAGGCTGGCAAGCCCCATGCGCTTTGCCAGACTTGGGGCCAGTGGGTCTGCGGACTCCACTGGCTTCGAGACTGGCGAGGCTGGTTTGCTGGACTTGGGGCCAGTGAGTCTGCGGACTCCACTGGCTTCGAGGCTGGCAAGCCCCATGCGCTTTGCCAGACTTGGGGCCAGTGGGTCTGCGGACTCCACTGGCTTCGAGACTGGCGAGGCTGGTTTGCTGGACTTGGGGCCAGTGAGTCTGCGGACTCCACTGGCTTCGAGGCTGGCAAGCCCCATGCGCTTTGCCAGACTTGGGGCCAGTGGGTCTGCGGACCCTGGCCCGAGGCTGGCGAAGCTTGTCTTGTGACTTGTCATGCATGGCATGCCACGACACATCACGCCATTCACTGGGGTTTGGGTTCAGGGCCAGGGATGGGGGATGTCCGGGTCTCAGAGAGGGGGGAGGGAGGGTTTCTACTGCTATTATTATTAACTACCCACGTCACTGTTCTGAGTACTGATTGCTTCTTGATGCCGATGTTTCCAGTATTTCTCCTCCTACTCATACTCCACCTTGTACTCCTACTCCTACTGCTGCCGCTATTGCTGCTAATACTGCGACTACTGCTTCCGCGACTGCTCTTGCTACTGCTACTGCTTAGACTGCTGCTGACGCAGCCGCCACTGAGCTACGACCACTATCAATTAATAACTACTGTTACTGACAGTTACTGCTAGGTCGACTCATATTGTTACTGCTGCTGCTACTATTACTACTACTACTACTACTACTACTACTACTACTACTACTACTACTACTACTACTACTACTACTACTACTACTACTGCTCCTGCTACTGCTGCTGCTGCTGGTAGTACTACTGCTACTACTACTACTACTACCACTACTACTGCTACTGCTCCTGCTACTGCTGCTGCTGCTGGTACTACTACTACTACTACTACTACTACTACTACTACTACTACTACTACTACTACTACTAGTATTACTACTACTACAACTGCTACCACTGCTACTGCTGCTGCTGCTGCTGCTACTACTACGACTACTACTACTACTACTACTACTACTACTACTACTACTACTACTACTACTACTACTACTAGTTACTACTACTACTACTACTACTACTACTACTACTACTACTACTACTACTACTACTACTACTACTACTACTGCTACCACAACGACTGCTGCACTCCAGGTCGAAAGCTGGCCGGGGCAAGCACGCCAGCACCGCGCAGGACCACGGGAGGGGTCGTGATCGTTGCTGTCATGTCGTGCCAAATGCTTGCCAATTGACCGCAATCTCACAGCTCACCGCGTCCACATCCATGGTCATGGCATTGTGGGCTTAGGATTCAGATGCTTCAACTTCTAAGACTCAATGTCGGAGCCATCTTAATAGCTTTCAGAAAGGGGCTCCCCTAAGGCTTTAATGTCAACTTTGAAGCACCCTAATGCTGCAACTTCCCTCAATCTTCCCTCTTGAGGGCTTCGAAGCTTGAAGTTTAAGGCTGCATCCTTTTTTCCATCGGCGCTGCCATGGACGACGATTCGCCGACGCCGGTGCCAACGGAGGTGCCCGTCGAGACGACAGCGCCGACGTCGCCGGTGCACGATGTGACCCAGCTGCATTGTCAAGCCAAGCTGCAGTTGCTGCTGTCGTGCGCTCATCCACACATGTAACTGAGGAGTCGACTGCGATGGACGAGACACCGGCCGATAGCATGCTTCCCCCGACTCCTCCGACGACAGTTACTCTGCAGCAATCATTGGAGCCTTGGGACGGATTTACATGTCGGGGTCCATACACACCAGCCCTTACAGCCACTGAGGTCGCTAGCCCTGGGGATGTCTCGACCGACTCCGCGGAGGAGTTGGAGCAGCCCAAGAAGAAGCGGAACAGGGGTAAGAACCCTTCTCAGAAGATCAGAAAGAGGCTGCAGAGACGCCTCTCGGCTCAATCATTCGTGTTTCTCTTGCTTCGGGGTGTAATTTGGCAGCTTTCCTGCTCCCATTGAGCCGAGGAAGGGCGCGTGAGGAGCAGGAAGGCCACTTGGCTTAATTCCGTGCACGACACAACCATATGTCGTGAATCCTCTTAGCTGATGGGGCATCCAAGGAAAGGCTGCATCTTCGGCCGGAGCTTCGTCCTCAGGCCACTGGGCTCAGTTCTTCAGCTAGATTTGATCAACTCGTCTGCCTTAGCTGCGGAGCATTTCAGGAGACGCCACTGGAGGAGCAGCACCCTCTCCTGCTGGCCACCAGGCTTCATTCAGTTCTGCAGCCAGACTCAAAACATCTTAAGCATCCGAGGAAAGCCGCCATCGTGAAGCCCGCCGCAGTGGGCCACTGGGCTTAATTAGTCATGGCATGTCAATTCTGTTCTTCATCTCAGCATCCCAGGAGAGCCACCCATCGAGCCTGCCCCAGTGGGCCACTGGGCTTGATTTATCATGACATATCAATTTCGTTGTCCATCTCAGCATCCGAGGAAAGCCGGGCATCGTGAAGCCTGCCGCAGTGGGCCACCGGGCTTAATTAGTCATGACATATCAATTCCGTTCTCCATCTCAGCATCCGAGGAAAGCCGCCCATCGTGAAGCCTGCCGCAGTGGGCCACCGGGCTTAATTAGTCATGACATATCAATTCCGTTCTCCATCCCAGCATCCGAGGAAAGCCGCCCATCGTGAAGCCTGCCGCAGTGGGCCACCGGGCTTAATTAGTTAGTCATGACATATCAATTCCGTTCTCCATCCTAGCATCCGAGGAAATCCACCCATCGTGAAGTCTGCCCCCGTGGGCCACTGGGCTTAATTCATTGTCATGACATATCAATTCCGTTCTCCATCCCAGCATCCGAGGAACTCCACCCATCATCGTGAGGCCCAAGCTAAACCTCGCTGCTGCGGGGTCGGGTGATTTTTCATGCAGCTTGGACTGCTTGTGTAGTTAAAAAGCGTGAATGTGAGAATGCCATGTAAATAAAAGCCTAAGGGCTGCCACCTCCGCCACCAAAGCCGGTGCGACCGGAGCGACAAGTGCGGCCGGCGGGCTATTATTATCCGCCTGATGACTTCAAGGCGGAGCAGGCCCGGTACTTTGCCACTTGTCTGAATTAAGTAAACAAGAGTGCAACATTGCATGCATTTTTAAATGTCAATCAGCAAAACCTTACGCTCAGGAGCTGTTGAAGGCCTATGGAGCGTTAAGAACGCGCCTCTCCATCTTTCGAAAACGATGGCCCGTGCCCTCTCAGCGTTTCATTTCAGCATGTCAGGCTTTGCCGATCTGTGAGCATTGCTTTTTATTCGAGCTTGAACTAAGACGCTGCCGCTCGACTTCGATCCACTTCCTTACGACCCTCAGAGGTCGAGGAACACCCCTCTCTGGGAGAGGTTAGAAGAGCTTCGGCAAGGTTTTAGGCTTGACGACGACGACTACTACT